TCGTAGTAAGGTAAGGAGACATCATAAGGTTTCTTGGGAATTTTGAATACAGACAGTTCTCAACGACCAGGCAATTATTTGATCGAATGTTTCGTGTTGTCCATCCCCTCCATTCTGACCTAATGAATGCGAAGTCTGCCCGTTCCATGCGCCCAGAATTCCGATTACTTTCTTGCCATACATACCAGCCTTTTTTATTGTAATTTCTAGCCCGCTACCACACGCATAGAGAAACTGTTATTGGAACCGCATGCTATGTAAGCCATTAGGTCCTCGCTTATTTCGTTTATCTATCCTCTGGTCTCAGTGAATGGAGCCATTTTTTGATGCTACTTCCAAAATAAAGCGTATTTATTTCTCTCCAACGCGCCGTGTCTGCAACGCAGCATGAAGCGACACAGGTGCTAAAATTCACGGCTTTAGGCTTGCCATCGTAGCTCAATTTTTAAAGTATTGGCTGTACTAAGGCCTTCCTTATTGATGTGGGTGCGAATCCCATCGAGACCACACATTTTTCACAATTGGGTCAACTTAATTATTAAAATCTGCCAAACGCCCCATAATAACTAACAGATTGGTTAGTTCCCGTATCTATTTTTTCTGCCGCTATATGCCACAGTTAGCGTGACTCGTAGAAAATGCCCCGTGAAATAACGTAAAAACACGAAAAAGAGACGATCGGTATCTACGGTAGGAATCGTTTTTTGCTATGGAAGTCAGTTAAGTAGGATGCAAATGGTGATATACCCATCGATATGTTAAGGACGGGCATTTTCGCGTGCTAACTGCAACCTTATCGGTTTTACTTCCCCAAAACAATACTTAGATGGCGACGTTGCTACATGGTCAGAGATTTTCAAACTGGCCGTACGAAAACACCCCAAACCACTGAATGAGAAAATGTACCCATGGTAAGCTGAAATAGCTATCTGCCGTAAAACGAGACATCATTGAAAAATAATAGCGTTAGCGTCCCAATCCCGTCCACCTGTCCTCAGAGCGCGCGCCGAATTTGTATACACTTGCGTGCAGAAAATGGCAAAACACGTCGAAGAAGATCTTCAAGGTTGTAAAACTTCACCACAACTACATTTTCACATCACTTGCGAGCCTGAGTAGCCCTAGCTGCACATCTTTGCACTAGTCTTGATAAGACCAATTTTGATTACCAGATAAAGCCAGCTACCAGCGATCACAAGTTCCTAAACATACCGCTAGACGACTCCGAAATGCCACGGACATATCCGCAGCCTCAACCACCCTTGTAGCGCCACCGTAGTGGATGACAATCCGGTGCACAACCCTGCTTTTTACTGAGCCCACCACACGCGACGGTCGCTGGCTGGTTAGTAAAAAAACAGTAAGCTCCAAATCTGTTTTGGCGCCAACATTAATCTATGCTCTATTGTGGGAGACAGTTTTTCTCCGATTCGACAGTTTTCTTTTTCAGCTTACGCGTAAAAGACAAGGAAAATAACTACTACAATGTGCAAATACACAATGGCCCTAAGGGGTAAACTACTGAGTAAAGCCGCCTCCAGCCATTTTATTTCTACGTCTTCTCCTGTAACACGCGAAAAATGCCTAACTTCATACTTAACAGCGAAGCAAATTCATTCCCACAGATGCCGCCTAAGACTCGTTAGACTGAAATGACACACTTCCTTATAGTCATGTTCTCCGTCCCTAAAACCTGAGATAGATCTATCACTATAAGCGACGACAACCACCGCTGCCCTATAAGGTGGGCATTTATTTGCGCGCGAATCTACTTATATTGGATTCCAATTTTAATCGTACAGCCTAAACCCAAAATATGTCAGCCACGCTAAAAGGTTCCGGTCAGGGATGCACTTATTTTCGGACGTCTATGTGTTGGCCTTCGCACTCGTCTCAACCTCTCAATCTCCACAAATATTTGCCTACAAGGCATCTACTCTGCCAGCCATCCTACGATAACGAAGCCGAAGACTTGCTGCATCTATCTGGTGAGAACAGCTACGTAGACGACTTTGCCACGTATTTCGTCGTTCGTACTTTACCCTATAGTTATCTCCCAACGGACGATAAAACAACCAACTCAGAGCCCATCTTGACACAGTAAATCAAAATATAGACATCATCAATGGAGAAGAATAGATCAACTTCAGCAGCCGCTAACTCGTGGTCGTGAATGCAACCGATTGTCGCGACAACTACCTAAATAAGAAGTCGCTTAGATTCGCTGTCAAGTTATGAACGCCTTAATCCAGGCGGCACAACGCACAACTGTATAGCGACTTGCAAGTCGGTCGCCAGGTTAGACAATTATTTAGGACAGACTGGCTAGGAATCGAAATATAAAAAAGTAGACAAGCCCACTTTGACTGAAGATAAAAAAGCAATTTTTGTACAAAGTGAGAAAGTACATACTTGTCCAAATGCGAAACTAAGTTAAGTCCTCAGACGTATACACAGGCATGATATTTATACAGGAATATGTAGCTTAAAGAGTTAAATGGCAGTTATGCAATGAAAGACTGTATGTATAGAAAACATCAAACGTACAGAAGGGCGGTTAAATGGCTTAGCTTGTCACGCTGAAATTAAAAGATATAAATTAGGGGATCGACAGAAAGGATGAAGCGTGCCGACGCTGACACAGTAAATGTCCGACCTCTTTAACCGCCCCTCTCAGTACGTGTCTTAAACCGGCATTTTCAATCCCTTCTCCGAAGACAATCCAGACGAAGACTGGGGAGGAAGAAGTTTAGTGCGAAAGTTTTCAGGGAGCAACGGGGACACGGAGAGACCCGGGGTGCCGGTTGAACTAGGCAGTCTTGTTGTGGAGAGAGCAGACGAGGACGAGGAACAGACCGAAGAGGATGAGAGCTGTCCGCCGTTGGTGGCCGGCGTAATTGGATCGGTTGGAGTATCGTCAGCATGCTGTTTGAGATCGTTTACCTCTACAGGAGAGTGATCAACCCCTTGAGACGGTGGGGGACATTGATCAACGCGAATAACGTGGTCGGCCAGTTCGATTGTTCCCGGCTTGAAAAGTGTTAGTAAGAATTGGTACGCCTCGCGCAGCTTGCACTGTCAAAAGAAAACATCAATATTAATGTACTCAATAAGTGACACAGAAAACTGCATTAAATGCAAATCTTCAAACTGTATATGCCTTTGAGATCCGTATAAAAACTGTGCTTACTGTATTCTAGACAGCGATCTTTTTAATTAGGTATTATCCAAACAGAAAATGGTCGTCACTAGGAGAGGGCTGCCATCGAGGCATACACAATTACCAGCAACCCGCGAAGATAAAATTACAAAATCACACGGATTCAAGCGCTTGATAAAGAGGATTTTTGGTAAAAGCAACGGCCTTGTGACTAGGCTGCATCGATAACACCAAGAGGGTGCCGTAATAGTTGATAGCATCCGCCAGTCTGAATGTGTTGAGCCTGCGCGAGGTCTTAACTGCGTGCGTAGACACATGACAGGCGCTAAAAGGAGGACCGTCATGTTAACCGCGCCCACAGGCTGGAAGGCAGGGGCAGATCACTGATGCATTTTGAAAGGAAGGAATGAGGCTAGTGCTATTATACTCTTTGTGATAACAAATTACTTGTGACGATCGCACCCAATTAAGAAAATCTGCCGACTTTAGCATATAAGTCGGGTCTTCAGTTTTCACAAGTAATTCAGAGTGGGAAAATGTAATGGATTTCTAGGGAGGCTGGTTTATAGACGACCCTTTTGATAGTTTAGAAGCTCCAGTAAGTAAGCAAAAGTTCTCTTGTAATAAATGTGAAATTCCAGGGGGGACCCGTAACGCGATTGGTGGGCGTTCCTATACCAATGGGTTATTTAGGAATAGGGGTAAAATTAGACAAGTTAATAATAGCAAAATGAAGAAATCATTTTTTTTAAATACATATGAATGGAAGTGCAGTACGTTTTCCAAAAATGAAAATTCCCACAGCATTATGAAGTAATCGAAACACTTTCCAGGAAAAACCATTCACTACATAAATAGGTGATCAAAAATATATGCAATAGTCAAGTAAACACTGAGAGGATATCAAGGGGGCTCTTTGTAGATCCAGTCATACTTCAGAGGCAATCAGTCAGGGTAAAATAACTAGTAACCTGACGACGCGAGGACTAACTCGAAAATCTTTTCCAGACGGAGCAGGAAAACAGTAGAAAGTGCTCATAATTGAAACAGTCGGATGCATTCGTTACACACAGTAAGAGAACTATGCTTCGATTTCAAGAGATAAATAAATGAAAACACATAAAACGGGGTATTAAGTCTAGGAAACAAAGAAGCCACTTGCTACATCGGGACCCATTGCAACATCTTTCTCGGAATTTGTCTAACATCTTAAAGCGAAGTTGGAAGAGTGGGGTTCCGGTGTTTTATATACACCTGGTTAATCAACAATAATGGGCAAGAATTTTTTATGGTATCGCAACAAGGGAACACAAAATTAAAGCGCTTACGGCTTCGAGACCAAGAAGACGCTGGATACGTGCGGCGGAGCTAACGGCAGATTCACCTAGGTCAGGAGAAACTGTTAACTGCAGGGCGTAAAGTATGCAAGCGGCTGCAGTATAGCCAGGGAGGTAGAGATTTACACCTTCCACTACAATAGAGAAGAAAATGATGATGACATCAGAAAGTAGACGGCTCTGACAGACAATACAAATAAATTCCCAAAACTTGCATTGCAGAAACTTTCCCATAATCGACAGTTACAAAAAGAAACGGTTGGCGAAGCACAAACTTGAGTTAAACGGCAACGCTCTATGAACGTCTACTTTATTGTGGATAATTGCATGAACGCTACGAAATTTCGCAAAAAAAAACACTTAAAAAAGCCCATAGTTTTTCGAGCATATGCTAAAAATCATCGCCGGCGTCAAAGTGATTTTGAAAGTAAACGGACATCAGGTGTCCGCCCGAGCATGGTATAAGAAATCACGGTGCATTTTCAGTTACTTAGCATTATCTGGAGAACTAGCGCCAAAGCCTTTAGAGGCACAACGGTTTGCAGTTGCCTGACTAAAGACCAAGCCATAAAAGTCACTGAACAAAAGAGAATACTCACAGAGCTGAATCGGAGGTTGAGCTTGCTTACTGAACACATATTTACTCCCTATCAGCAAATAGCTAGCGGTGCCTTCTTCTTACTGAAGCACTGCATACAGCCTGTTTGTCTACTTCAACGCTAGCGGGTTTAAAATATTTCGAATATCCTAATTGATAATTACCTGCGCATGATAGTTACCACAAAAGTACACGATCTGCACTAAATCAGTGCTTGCGGTCGTATTTTATGCATTAATTCAGTTTACTCTGTAAACTATAATAATGTTCGGCCCTACAATCTTACAGTTTGAGTAGCGGTTATCAAAAAAAACTAAAACAGTACAAGCGCATAGAAGAAGTGATACGTAGAGAGAAAATGACGTGGAGCATATTATTATGTACATACAATAATCATAGTCTGAAATGAAAATTCGAGGAATGGGGCACGAGAGGTTATAGCCAAATAAAGAATGTTATATCCGCAACGTCAGCCGCTCACTCACCATGCAAAATTTTCATGAAAATGTGAGAGGCCGACCGTCTTAAAAGCTGACGTAGTTCCAAAGAACATGGTAGAAAATCAACAGACGGGGCAATAAAATCAAGTGGTGTTATTCCGGTTAAGTTCCATTGAAGTGCAATGCATATGGTTACTTCTTTAGCCTAAATCACGAATGCGTCAGCAATATAAGAAATTTACCAAGAGATCCTGACGAGTGACTGAGAAGTCGGTGTACTGAACCATTCGCTCGACCGAAACCGGCACAGTTTCCTTCAGTTTGCTCGAAATCAAAAAACATGCGGCACCAACTAA